TTTACACTCCCTCCTACAAGGGGAGACGTTGTCTCTTTATTGAATTATAAAATGAACCATAGGTTATAATATTTGACATGTGTATAAAATTGGTCATAAACCCTAAACCAGGGTTTATGACTCTTTTTCAAATAAACCTAAAAACGTGAAGTAACTAAATAGAGTATATCTGACCACAACCCCCCCAAGCTGAAGCACGGTACGTGTGCCAGCTTCAGAAGAGTGAAGATCTACTCGCTATACATAGGACGTTGGTTTAACCTCCACGAACAAGAGGGATCTGCTGGATTTACCCTCAGAGAGCTAGAGAATCGGCTGAAATTTTACCTCAGAGAGCTAGAGGGCCCGGTTCGTAACAACCACGCGAGCAAGGTCGATAACTTGAAATAACGAAAATCAAAGAAAAGAACAATAAGAATGCTGCACAACCATACTTGTTACACTGCTTCCCGCCGGCGCTTGCGAGAGCGTGTTTGTGTAACCTTATGGTATGCCACGATGTCATTAGCATCGTCAAACGCCTCGGCCGTTTCCCAGGTAGGTTCCCCTTCACGCCGGCGCACTAGGTACTCCATCTGACCCGTGTCATAATTCATGCGATGTTTAATGATGTGTCGGAACGCAGACCCGTCCTCACGCCATAGACTCTCATCCAGGGGTGGATCCGTACTCATGAGGACCAACCGTATAACTTCAACCCGAACCGGTCGACCCTTGAATTCCGATGGAATCGAACCATCCCGATGAGCAAGGTCGTACTCATGTCCGTTCCGGCCTTTAAATACATATGGACCAAACAAAGGGCGCATGGCCTTCGATGTGCGCCCTTCCGATTTGACCATCACCACATCGCCTTCCTCAAAGTGCACCAGGTCGTCCGCATGAAGTCGGTCGAAGTTCCTTGTCAGAGTGTCCGTGTACCGCATCGTCAGCCTGTGCAACGTTGGTAAGATCGTATCCTGGAAGCGATCTAGGCGTTGAGCCCACGTTTCGTTCGTAACCGGCTGGTGGTCTGAGGTATCGTCGGTAAAATCCGAAAATGGGACATGCCGGCGCCCAAAGTATACACTAGACGGATCACTCTTATACCGACAGGACACCTTTAAGTTCTGGTACAGCATCGTGAATGGGAGGCGCTCATCCCATGCGTGTGGTGTAGCCTCACAGCAAATCCGGATGGACCGGATGATTTTCTTTCTGCCGACGTTCTGTAGCTCCTAACACTTGCGGACGATACGGCGGTGAGAGTTTGTACATCATCCCGACTTCCCGGACGATAAGGGCCACAACTCCGCTAACAAATTCGATTCCCATATCCGACTACATCTTCCTGGGGAATCCATGTTCGCCCAAGATTACCAACAACGTCTGCGCCGTGGAATCCTTGGATTTGTCGGGTGTGGCGCGGAGAATCGAGTACCCCGAGGCTATGTCCAGGACGTGTAGGACATATCTATTCTTCCGGCGGGATGCAATGGGCATCGGGATGTAATCCATTTGCATGTGACCCTACGGGTAACGGGCGTCTATACTTACCAAGGGGTGGAACCCGATCATTGACGCTTAACTTCCGTCCTAACTCCAGAGCCCCCGGCCATATGTGGCCGTTCTCTTGAAGTTGCGCCACTGTGTCCGCTGCCCCGTGGTGTCCTTGTTCATGTTGTGCTTGTGTGAGTTGTGTGCGTCGCTGTTGTTCATCCAGTTATGCATTGGCAAATGCTGGTTGGGCGGGCCTCCGCACTCGTGATTGCGACTGAAAGATCCTGTGCTGTATCTAAACAACGAGGTTGAGGTACATATCGTGGTTCGGCAAAACCTAATCGCTGTTGAAACGACTCCGGCAGCAGAAAACCATTGGGGGATCCAATTCAAGCAATCACTGTATGGCCCCACGGGGTTTTACCACACGTGTACTTAGCATGTTTCAAGAACGTGTGCGGTGTCCTGGGTACTAACACCGGCTCCGACTGCAGCAAGGACTTGAATAAAGTGAACCACGGCGCTCGAGGGGCCCACTGAACACAAACAGTTGCCGACACCCCGTCGGCCTTAATCTTCCTAAATATCTTATGGATGAGCTTCCACGGTGGATTCATCCACCCATTAAACAACGCCCAATTATGCTGGAAGACTCCCCCCCCGCTCGTCGTGTGTCCAAAACCGAGGGAGTTGCGCATCCCCCGGCGTCGCGAACACATCGATATCGTTTGGGCCGAAGATCTGCTGGGCTTGTGTGAAGT